TTCGATTATTGAGAGAGATAATTGAGAAAGAGATCAGAAATTTCACTATTTCTTAGATTCATGGACCCCAAATTCAATTCAGTGGGATCTTTCATTCCAACATGATCGGTGCCCAGTAGCAACAACGTTTAATAATCTCTTGGACTCCTCGAATTTGAGGTATCTTACTTTCAACGGAGGAGTAATGGGCGGATGTCATGGACGCAACTTCACCAGGGTTCAACAAGCAACGTTCGATATTCACACTCAAAGGCTCCAGTAACTATTATGTAGTGGTTCTAGAGAGAGCGTATTAACATCGAAAGATGGTCGAAGAAAAAAATCTCTATTTTACAGGGCTTCTTCTATACTATGAATTCCATGGACCCAGAAATGATACATTGGAGAAGTCCTTTGGGTCCTTCCAATATCAATAGGTTGATTGTTTCGCTCCCTGTATCTTCCAAAAGGAAAAGATCTCTGAGAGCTCCTTTCCTGGAATCCGAAAGAGATACATAGCGGTTCCTCATAACTAAAAAGTCTAAGATCTAAACTGGGTTCGCGGTGGTGGAGGCACTGGATCGAAAAAAAGAGGGATTCTAGTTGGTAAGATACTAATGAAACCGTCGCTGGAATTGAGATCTCAATTCAAAAGAGAAAAGATATCACAATATGCCTGGTAGTTGTCTTCTATCTGGGTTATATTATAATAAGGATGTAACTACCGAGTCGGCAGGACCATGATTGGGAAATTTGTTTGATCGTCTTTCTCCGAGGAAGGGGCGAAACATAATCAACTTTTGAATTCGGGACAGCTATTCCGAAATCTTAGTGAAAGACTGGATTTGTTATCTCCATGTTTTGCTTTTCGCCGAAAAAATACCAATTGAAGTGGATAGGTGTATTACCCTTCAAACAACAGAGAGCTGGTTCAACTATGTCAATCAATATGATATTAGAGCATGTTTCCCCAATCTTCCTTCTCGGAGAAACGAAGTGGGCTATTTTCTTTTGCAAAATTGTGCTCAATTTCATATGTGGCAATTCCGCCAAGATCTTTCGTTAGTTGGGGGGGAAATAAATCCGCACCGAAATCGGATTTTTTGCAGGAACATACGAGAGAGGATTGGATTTGGTTAGAACCAATGTGTGGTTGGTAACAAGGATCGGTTTTTTAGCAAGGCACGGATAATATCGTCAATATTCAATAAATATGATTCCAACACAGATCTAAGTTTCGTTCAAAGAAGGAATTCCTAGCCAATGAAGGGAATCTTCTGATCAATCCAGAGATCATTTCGATTCCCATTAGTAATGAGGATTCGCGAATATCACACATTGATCAATCAAACGACAAGTATTCGAAACAACTTAAAAAGAAAGATCGATTCTTATGGGATCCTTTCCTTTCTTCAAACGGAGAACGAATAACGAGAAGATAGCTAATCAAGACCCGATTCCCTAAATGCCTTTCTGGATATTCCTACTTGTCCCGACTATTTCCCGGAAAGTGAGAAGGAGATTGAAATAATCATCTGCTTCCGGAAAGAAATCGAAGAATTTCTTGGGAATCTACAAGATCCATTCGTTTCTTTTTTCTCTGACAGATCGTCAGAACTTCATCTGGGTTCGAATCCTACTGAGAGGTCCATCTAAATTGTTGAGGAAAGAACAAAATGTTTCTTTTGTCCCTTTCCCAGGCGATCGGAATAAAGAATCAGTTTAATATAACTTCAAGATAATCTACCGTAATTACAAAATACCGGTCCTCAATTCATCCTATTTCATCAGATCCGGGATGATGATATGGTTCTGAAGGAATGACTGGATATGGAAATTCCAATAAGAATTCTTTCTTGAACAAAAATCCATTTTTTTGATTTAATTTCAATCTATCCATGATCGGAACGGGGGGGATACACGTTACACCACGATTTTAAATCAAGAAGAGGTTTCAAAAGAAAATGGTCAGATCTATCACTCTATCAATAACCGAGCCCCGAATCTGGTGTATCATAAGGGATTTTACCTTTTTTATTGATTTCTTACGGATTGGATCAAAAACAAATTCTTGGAATGAAGGTTTCAAACTCCAGGGATGAATCGAAAAAAAGAAATCTTTATTGGTTCTAACCTCCCTATTTTTATGAAAGAGAATGAATCTTTTTATCGAAGGATCAGAAAAAAATGGGTCCTGGAATCTCCCTGCGGGAATGATTTTGGAGATTCCAACAAAAAATAGTGGGTCATTTGCTAAGCAACAACATAATGGAAGGCAGTCAATTCAATATGGATTGATCCAAAAAAAAATAAATCCTGATTCAAATCAAATACTAGTACCTAATGGGTACATAAGAAATGTATTGACCTCTCATTCTTTTAATAATAGATCCGATCGCAACTTCGAATATGCGAATTCAAAGGGATGCAAATAAGGAAATGAATACTCTGAATCAATAGAACTATAATGAAATATACGATCACCAACATTTAATCGAAATTTGAAAAGCATAGTCAGACA